TGCTAAAATATATAATTTATTGGAAATAAGCTTGAAAAATAAACATGAAGGTCAAATAAATTATAAAACATGAGGTAAAGTTCTCATTTTTAATTTAATTGCTGTATTTTAAGTGTATTTATTTATTTATTTATTAGTCCATTTCTGTATTTCTGATTTCATTTCTACTTCTGTCAGCTTCATTCCTCCATGTTTTTATGTTCAACCAGAGAACGCTGCACTGACTGAAACACTGAAAACAGCAGCAGACATCAGAAATGTTTCTCTGCCATCTAGAGGCAGAAAATCAGACGCATTCAGTGAAAAATCGATTCAATCTGAACAAAGATTAAGAGTTAAATAAAAGCTTGTTGTGGGTGATAACTCTCTAATTATTGTTTTATTTTAATATTTAATGAGGATGATGATGTCACTTGGTTTTTAGGTGATAAAAAAGGGAGTTTCCTGTTTTACAAACGGTCTTGATGTCTTAGTTTTTTATTAATTTATAAGTTCCTGCAGCCGTACCTCAATTCTTGCCCGGTTCATGGAGCCCAGGTCCATCAGAACCGGTTTGTTGTCCTCATCCAGGAGAACGTTGGTGGGCTTCAGGTCTCTGTGGAGCCACGAGTTCACAGGGAGAGTTTYATATTTCTGGACTTTTACAGAAATTAGTCATAAAAAAAAACAATGTGTGGTTTTATACACAGATCAGCCAGAACATTATGACCACCAGAAGAGGAGCTACGGGTCCGAGAGAAAAACCCAGACCTCCCTGGAAGGCAGGGGTCCTGGAGGGCCACCATCCTGCAGGATTCAGAGGTTTCTCTGCTCCAACACCTGATCTGAATGAGGTGATTAACAGGCTGCTGCAGAACCTGAAGAGGAAATTTAATCACTGAGTCAGGTGTGCAACAGGTCAAATAAGCAGCACCTCGAGGACCAGGGTACCCCACCCCTCCCSCCTCACACGAAGGTCTGAGTTTTCCTCCTGGACCTGCTGCCTCGGTGACCCGGTCGTAGAGGATGAAGGAGCAGGTTCCTCTCTTTCTGACAGCGGAGGTATCAGATATATTTACACACATTTAACTCTTCAGCTCCGAGGGGTTTTCTTGAAGGTTTTTGCTCTAAATCACATTTTTAAATGTAACTGAGTGAATCTCAGCTTTTACAAACTYTACTTAAATAATCTTGGTATCAAAATAAAGCAACACTTGGGAGATTTCATCAGAAGTGTAAATATTAAAACAGCTGCTGTGGTTTTAGACATATTGGGGATGGAACAGAATTTTATTTTATTTTTTTCCTTCTCGTCTGAATAATGTTTTCATTAGACAGTATATAACCTATTTAAAACCAATGAATCAGGTTAAAAACTCCTGAAACCATAAATCCACTTGTGGACATCACCTGTGCAAAGATTCATGCTGCTAAAATTAACTGGAGCAAAGTTACAGAGGTTTTAGTAAAGAAATTATTTTGCATTTTGTCTTTCTGCACAGAACAGACCATGATGGTTCCTTTAATAAATGTTAAGAAATCTGAAGTTTTTACATCCAAAAAGTTATTTATTTTTTCTTACCTGCCTGAAAAAAACGTTATTAAATGTTTGTTCTTTTGAAAAATTATCCAAACATTTATTTGTCTCCATATATACAGTATTATAT